CTCTTACCCATCACCGTCCAGGTACACCTGGGTATCACTCCAGAGGGGCAAGACCAGGCCCAGGGTGCAGCTGTGGGAGCTGACAGGAGACAGGAGAGCCATTGTTCCTCAGCACTCACAGCTCTGCCCCAACCCTCCTCTCCGACTCCTACCTGCTGTCAGGAAAGTCCACTCCCAGAAGAATGGTCTCCTGACTCAGACACTCTCCTGTGGACACTACCAGCAGGTAGCGGAGTCGTGGGGGCCGGGCTGCCTCCAGCTGGGCTGCCTGGGAAAATGGAAGAAGCTGGGAATCATAGGGGCTCTCGGCTCCTTCACTCCCACACAGACACACCTTGTGCCTTGCTGGCCCCTGTTCCCAACTCCCAGACAGAAGATCAGGGGCTACTTGAGAACACAGTGATATACTCAAATTTTGCAATTTACGGCTCAGCAAACTGTCTTTAAAAGCCTTAAATGAGGAGCGTAAGAAAAGGAGGGAGGCTGGGCGGTGGTGGCACACGACTTTAATCCCAGCACTAGGGAGGCAGAGGCAGGTGGATCTCCATGAGTTTGAGGCCAGTCTTGGAACACCACCTCCCTCATCCCCAAAAGCGGGGGGGGGGGGGGGGGGGGGGGGGGCGCAGGGAGGATAGCGTTGATAGAGACAGCCTCATTCTTGTTTCTGCCTAGCAAAGAGGTTTTATCACTTTAAAAATTATTTTATTTGTAAGGATGTTTTGTCTGCATGTATGTCTGCACCACATGCATGCCTGGCACCCAGAGAGACCGACCAGAAGCATGTCAGCTATCCTGGGATTGGAGTTAGAGATGGTTGTGAGTCACCATGTGGTTGCTGGGAATTGAACTCAAGTCCTCTGGAAGAGCAATCAGAGCTCTTAAGCCCTGGATCATCTCTCCAGCCCTGCAAGGAGATTTTTTTTTTTTTTTTTAAAAACCCTGACACTCGTCAATATTTTATTTGAGAAATGCCTTCTACCAAAGGAATGATGTAGGGCCTCATACATGCTAGAAGGATTTCATCTTATAATGGATTCGAACAGCACTCCTGGGGCTGGAGAGATGGCTTAGTGGTTAAGAGCACTGGTTGCTCTTCCAGATGGACCGGGGTTCAATTCCTAGCATCCACACAGCAGCTCACACTTGTCTGTAACTCCAGTTCCAGGGCTTCTGACACCCTCACACAGACATACATGCAGGCAAAACACCAAATAACATAAAAAAATAATTTAAGTTTTAAAAATTCCTGTTGTAAAGCCTGCTTTACCAGAGCCTACATCTTGTTTTTCCTACTTTGCTGCCAACAGCGAATGTCTGCCTCCACACACTTTCAGGAGCTGGCTCTTGGGTTCCAGTAGACCCCAGTCTTCTGTGGGTGCTCTGTTTGCCTGGCTGGCACGCCGGCTGCCAAGGCATGCTTCACAAACCCTGGGAGTATGAGTCCATCTCTGGGCAACTCACTAGTACCAACAGGGGCCTCCTGTGGATCAACAGAATCCTCCCTCAAGTAACCCCCACCTCTTGGCTCACACAGGACAGACTTCCCTTGTCTTCACACAGCCCTCTGGAGACAGACATGACCTTGCCCTGCTAAGATGCCTCTGGCTGAAGTGGCAGAGTTCCTGGGGTTTGGGTAATCCTCCCCCCAACTGCCTGGGTGCCCCCTAATCTCACAGCATCGCTCCTCAATAGACACCCGCTCCGCCCGGCCCCTACCAGGCGGATGTCGTCCTGTGGTCTCAGCAGCCCCACCATGAGGTGCAGATGCTTCCTCTGCACTTGTTTCCAAGGACTCTGGAATTCTTGCCCATTGTCGGTCTGGTCCTCAGTGAGCTGCTTCTCACCCGAGGGTTCCTCCGTTGGCTCAGAGCCGGCCTCGGCTGCATCCTTACTGTCTCCTCCATCCTGAAGTCCCAGGACCGCCCCTCGGAGCACCGCAAAACTCTGCCTGGCAGAGCGATAGGGAAATGGTTCTGGCCATAGGTTTCCAAACTTTAGCAGGGGTGAGTCCCCCTAGGGGATTGCTGAAATGGAGTGCTAGCCTGCTCTCCTGAGTGAGGCACAGTTTGCAGTTTTAACCAGGACCCTGATAGTGGTCAGTACCCAGAGGGCCAGCCTTGGGCTCACATTGTGTCCCTTTCCTGGGTGGGCTCAGATGCTCTAAACTTGTCTAGGCACCTATACATCTTCAGGTCCTATCCTGCCCTCGGGCCTGTGATCACTGGCCTGAGCCAAGGTCCAGGGAATGTGTGAAATCATCCACTGACCAGGGCCAAGGTAGGCCCGCTGGCTGGTTCTTCCACAAGCCAGGAATGTGACGCTTGCCAGTTCCTCCCACAGCACCTGGCTCCCACCTAAGCAGGAGTTTATCGGAATACTTCAGTGAGTCGTTGGTCCAAGCAAGACACCTGGATTCCACAATGGCAGCGGCCAGGGCACAGGCTATAAGGAAGCATACGTCTGGAGAAGGGGCTCACCTGCGTTGGAGCCGGCCTCTGCGCCTGGCCACTCGGTCCTGCCGAGAAAGCAGCCCGGGGACAGAGTGAGAGCAGCCCCCAGGACAGGAAGTACCCAAAACCTCTCCTCCTCTTCCCCCAGGGGAATCCTAGGTGCGGGGGATAAATCTCCCTCTGAAGCCGCTCCCCTCCCCAGGCCCCAGGGGAACCCCGGCACCGTGGGGCTGCAAGGACAGGGGATTGCAGAATGTGGGGGGGATCTGAGAGGACCTGGGCCTCCGCAGACCGGGCTGGCTCTCAGGACTTCGCAGCTACCTCGGTCGAGCTCTTGGGAGCTTCAGGACCTCCCGAGTGCCCTGGAACCTGAGACTCAAGTCCCTCTCCGCCTACTCCGGGGCGTGAGGCCGTCTGCCAGGGGCAGGACGTGCTCCCTCAGGCCCGGCTGGCAGCCAACTGCGAAAGGGTAAGACCAAGCTCTACTCACCGTGGGTCCCACAGGCGTGGAGTGGCCACTAGCCGGCGGCGAGCGACTCACTGTGACCAGCGCCATAAGGCCAGGCCCGGGTCACCTGGGCGAACCCGGCACGTCCCCTCCCACAGCCCTACGGTCAGTCCCTGCCTTCGCGCGACCAGGAAGAAGAGATTGGAGCCACTAGGGCCTGGCACCTCCTCGGGAGCGGCCCTTAAAGGGCCCGACTCATGCCCAGTCCGGCCTCACGGAGCGAGCACCGAGCGGCCGCGGCCCCTCCCCTCCGGTCTCGGCTCAGCTCGCCCCGCCCCGTCCACGCTGGAGGCGGGGCTGAGGGTGGGGTCAAGGGCGGGGCGCGCAGGTGAGGAGCCCGGACCTCGCTTTCTCCTTTGGCTGGTCCCGCCGGAGGCGCCCAGCCCTCCTTGCTACACCTAGGAAAGTCAACTGAGTAGCTTCGGACCTCCCTCTACTGTGTGGTTTATGCCCTGACTCCGGGGAAGGAAGGAGCAAGGACAATAAGTCTTTTGTTTTTTTGAGACGGGGTCTCACAATGTAGCTCTGACCTGCCTGCAACTCACTATGTGGGCCAGGCTGGCCTGGAACTCACAGAGATCCACCTGCATCTGCCTCCCAAGTGCTGGGATTAAAGACTTCGCCACCATGCCTGGGGGGACTGGGTCTCAAATCTACCATCCCATCCAAACTTGTTCTCCTTTTCACTTCTTTCCTCCACTCTGCGGAAATTTGGAGACCAGCAAGCTTGTGAGGAAATGATTTGCGTCTTAGCAATAGTCTTCACAAAGCCCATGGGCACTTCAAAAGGTCCACTTGAGCGGTGAACAGGACAGGGCTGAGTCCCTTCCCCAGTTCCTGCGTGCAGAGGGTGGGGTGTGCCTGGCTTAAAGTCACTCTGGTAGAAGATATTTGAATCTGGGTAGGAACCTGTGCCTAGGCAGCAGGGATGAGGGAGGGAGCTTTCCCCAGTGGGTACAACCGGAAGCCCCAGCCTTTTTCTCTCCCCCTCAGGAACGTGGGCCAGGTTCTGGGGAGACGAGGTCTGGTGGCCAGGGGAACCTCAGACTCCCGTGGAACACCTGTGAGTGGATGGCCTTATTTTACAGCTGTAGAAACAGAGATGAGGTCACCATCCTTCAGTAGTCCCCATCCAGTGTCCCCTTGGTTCCAGCCCATGGAGCACAGCGAGGCTACTGCTGACGGTCTCTTTATTTCCACCTTGGCCTCACTGCCAGCCTACCTCCGGGACCCCAGACCCCAAGCTCAGCAGCAGACAGTTTATAAATAAATAAATACAAAACAGGCAGAAGGAATGACCCTGGAGAGCCATTCCAGGGCCGGGCAGCTCAGTGCTCTGTGAGCGACAGCTGCAGGATCCGCTGCAGGTCTTCTTCCTCCTGCTGACCTCGTCGTTCCCGCTCTTCCTGTTCCCTTGAAGACAACTCGAGAGCCAGGCGAAGCTGCTCCTCAAAGCTTGGGGGTGCAGGGGATGGAGGTGTCCTCTGAGGAGATTCTGGACCCCTGGACTCTGTGGACAGCTGTAGGCTTTCCTGGAGGGCCCTTCAGGGCCAGGGTTGAAGAAGAACAAACCAATGAGAGGGCTTGGGGAGAAGCCAAGAGCATGAAGTTGTGAGGGACGATGTCAGGGAGAGAGACAAGCAAGACTCTCGTGGCCCTTCCTGCTCCTGGCGGTGAGCAGCGTTTGGTCTCGTGACGGTACGGAGGCCTCGGTCAGAACTGCCTTACTTCCCACCCCCCCACCAGTCAGGACCCACACACAGTTCGTGGGGGACTCACTGCTCCAGCTGAAGCTGCTCTTCAAACACTGTGACTTGGGGAGGAGGGAGAAGGCCAGGCCGTGTGTTGGTCAGGGCTTCCCACACAGTCACCTGCAGCAGTCAGAGCCCAGAACTGTCACCCCAGGCCTGTGGCTGGGGAGGTCATGACCCACCTTCCACCGGCACCCCACCTGCTCTGCCTCTGTGCCCGCCTCGAGCAGGCTCTGCTGGATGGCAAACTGAAGCAGGTCATCGTCCTCGTCCCGAAGGGGTTCGCTGCGTTCAGCACCCAGCACACTGTACCCCTCCGGCACCTCGAACACAGAGGGGTCCACCTCACATGGAAAAGGGTTTCCTGGGCAGGGTAACAGGAGTCGCGTTCAGTTCAGCCCCAAGGCTGATCGGGGAGCCGCACAGCCACCTAGCTCTCCTGTAGCCATACCTGAAGCAGAGCTGGCAGAACCGGGGGCGGGGACCCACACGGAGCTCACAGGCTCATCACAGCCACACAGGTTACTGAAGGTGATTCGGGCATTGAGCACGTGGAAGAGGGGAATCTCTGAGAGGAGAGAGCCAGGTTTGAGCTGCCTGCCCCTTGCAGTAACCCCAAACCTGAGGAGGGTGTCATGCCTGAGTCCTGGCTGCCTTCTCACCAATCTTGACCGGGAAGCCTGGCGGGAGGCGGAGAGTGATGAAGTCCCGCAGCTTGGCAAAGTGGGCATTGCTGATGGCCATCAGGTCGATGATGGGCGTCACCTGGTCACCCAAGGACAGCGGGTGCTCCTCACTCAGCCACAGTGTCGCCTTGAACCTATCCAGCCAACCAGAGAAAGTGGGTCAGGGACCCTGGTGCCTCACCCTTTCTGGTCGCCGGCCCATGGTGTTGCCCTTTTCCCTGTCCGGCTCCTATGGACCGCTGCCCCAGGAACTCAGCACTGGCTCTGAAGCCTGATAGGTCTCAGCTCCTGGCCCATTCTGGTGCTGATGGCTCTTTTGATCTGCATGTGGAGAGGCAGGAGCCAGCCTGTGGGCTTATCTGGGCCTTATCTACAGCCTGGTCTTTGTCCGAAGCTAGTCAGCACTATACACTTGACTGTGCTGGACACAAACACCAAAGCGCCGTGCTTGGGGGTTGAGCCCAGCCCAGAGGTCAGCACTTTGGGGTTGAAATCTCATCTCCAATCAATGTCTGAGGAGAGACACGTGAGGCTGCGTGACATCTGTGGGACCCGCTCTAAAGCATCTTCACCGTGACTACATCCATGTGACCATGGACATCTGGTTGACTTTTTGTTTTTCTGAAAAAAACAGACTCCCAGAAGGGAAGATTATTTCCTTGTGATATAAGCAAGGACGGCAGAGCTGTGGGTCCTTCCCACTCCGTCATGCTCTGGTCCCAGGCACATGCTCACTGAGTTGAACAGAAAAACAAGCCAGGAATGGTGGAATCCCGCCACTTGGACTGTTTTGAGTTGGAGGCCAGCCTGAGCTACATAATGAGCTACAAGCCAGGGCTACAAAGTGGGACCCTGTATCATAAAGCCCAAAACAAACAACAAACAAACAAACAAGCAAATACATCGGTGACGTCACCCAAATATGCCCAGGTGCATGCTAGGTGTCCAAACCACGGCAAAGACAGACGTGGCTCCCACCCTCTGGAGCTGGTCAGGGAGAAATCTACTAGGTGAGCAGATCCCTCACTGTGACGCACTCCATGCATGACTGGACTCTGCTGATGCTCACAGTCTTTGGTGGGACTCCCCAACCTGCCCCCAGACCTCACCTCTGTACTTTGCTGGACATCTCGATGGGGCGGCCAATGTTTCTCGATTCCAGGCTGAAGCTGGGGTCAAAGTACTCCTCGGGGGAAATTGCTGAGGGGTTGGTGGGGCTGGCGGCCTGCTGCACGGGAGCCTGAGTGGACCCCAGGGTGGGACTTAGTCCTCAGTATGACCAGGAACGAGCCCCACCCACCCAGGCTTGGCCCGGCCCTTCCCCAGCCAAGCTCACCCCACTGTGGGAAGAGTGCTGCTGGGCCATCCCCAGGAAGGACTGGAACGGGGTCTTCCCCCCTGAGAAGAAGTAGTCAGGAGTTGGAACCATGAGGGAACTCTGGGCAATTCCCCAGCCTGTGTTCTGCCATTCTCTTCCTTGGGAGCCTCTCGCTGGGTGGGAGAGGGTTCCGGGCGGAAGAGGGAGGCCCCCCACCCTGCCTGGGGTTGTGGAGCCCTGGCCCCACACCACTGGATGACTGGGCATCAGGCAGTCGCACCTGGGTTTACCTTTGTTCCTTAACTTGTCCTGATCGGAGAGGTGCTCTGTTCGTGTGCGCGTCACCAGCTCCACATTGGTGGCGCTGTACACCTGTGGATAGATCGAGGGGAGACACAGGGAACTCAGGGTTCAGAGCCTGTTCTTCATCAGCCCAGGACTCAAGTCCTCTGTTCCCAGAGACACACAAAATTTCCCCGCAGGAGAGCAAGTGGCAGCGTCTGAACCCCAGGAGTCACTAACAGGGACATGTAGTCAGAGAGCCAAGAAAAACAAAAGACAACAAAAAAGCACCCATGACTTCATCTCAGAGCCCAGGGAGGGGTGAGCAGGGGCTGGGTCTCTGGACCACAAAAAGTCACTTTGGTTGATTAGGCTTCTGGGGTCAAAAAACCGATTGCCCCTCCCCCTCCACAGCATGGGGGGTGAAGCAGCTTAGCCTCCAGGTCCCACAAGGCTATCCCCAAGTCCCCAGCCCAGCAGCCCCTCCTGCCTTAGCCTCGTAGCCACTAACAGTCTCCATCTTCTCAGACCGCCATCCCCAGATACCACATTTGTTCCTGTAACAGAGCAGACAGGAGAGGTGAGGTCACGCCCCCTCCCCGGTCCACCCAGCTGGGGGCCCTGAGCACTCAACTGCCGAGGTCCTTGCCCACAGTGACACACGGAGGGGCCTGGACTAGAAGGACTGGACAGCGATAACATTTTCACAAGGCCAAGGACTAGAGGCACACAAGCAATTCTTTATTTTATTAGGTATGATAATGGTGCTGGGGCTCAGTTAAAAACTCTGCATGAATACAGAAACCTTTATTATTGAGATGACAAGATATCTGGGATGACTGGTTCTTGTTACTGTTGTTTGAGAACTCACTCTGTAGACCAGGCTGATCTTGAACTCACAGAGAATCATCTGCCTCTAGCTCCTGAGTGTGCACACATACATACAAAAATATGATAGTAATCTAGATGAAATGGACGAACTACTGAAGCTGACATAGGAAGAAATCATCTAAACAAGGTCTACAGCAAGTGAGCAGATGGTTCTCTTTCTCTTCACCATCGTCTACCCGGAGAGAAAAGTACAGGACTAAAGGCTTTACCATGGAATTCTATCAACAGTTTAAAGAATTAGTGCCAGGTATTTGCCAACTCTTCTATAAAATGGATGATGAGGTCATACTTTTCAACTCCTGTTATTATATTTTGCCCACATATCAA